GCACATAACAACAACATTCCTAGAAATAGGTCTTCTCAATTACTTGTTATGCATCTGGTAGCTGGACAATGATTAAGGATATAGAAGAAGAATCGGTACTTTTGAGCTGATGCTGGAGAAGAGTACTAAATATACCACAAATCACCAAGAGAATAAACAAGTCTGTCCTAGAGAGGGTGAAACTATTCTGCTCCTTGGAGGCAAGGAGTTTTGAAATTCCATGTCATATACATGGGCATGTTGCCAGAAGAAATTAGTCCTTGGAGAAGGACATCATGCGTGGAAGTGTGGAGGGACAGCACAGAGGAGGAAGACCCTGAATGAGATGGATTAACACAGTGACTATGGCAATGGGAGTAGGCGTGTCAGAGATGTTGGGATTGGCTCAAGACAGGGCAGGTTTCGAACTATTGTTCATAGAGTCAATATGAGTCAGAGTCAACTCATGGGCACATAATAACAATACAAAAACATTCCTAGAAAACCCCAGAACCCACAGCCGTCATTAGCCTGAGACCAGAAGAACCTCATGGTGTCCAGCCACCACTACAGACCTTTCTGATTAGGATCATAATACACATCTCTGAGAAGAATAGGAGAAAATTGTAGAAGAATAAAAAAAAATCATGACTATATCTTACAATGAAAACACCTGACAGAGACTGGTGGAACTCTCAAGATCATGGTCCTTAGACATCCTCAACCCTGGAACTGAACCCACCTCCAGGGATCGACTTTCAGCTGAACAATAAGCTTATTAGATGGATAACAATACCAAGAAGGAACGTACTCCTCATTGCCATCAACCAAATGAGACTGAAAGGAAAGCATTTACTCCAAAGCAAAGCTCAGAAGGCAGAGAGGCGTGGGAGAGAAGGGAGAATGGAAATGCGGAATCCAAAGAGGAAATGGGAAGAGTGTTACGACATTGAGGAGAGTGCGGTGGGTGTCAAACAAACTATTTATAAACTGATGAGTAACTAAAAGATTCTGTTAACTTTCCCTCAAATCAATAGACTTTAAACAAATAGCTGGGGAGGAAACATGTTCCCAGTGGTCAGGAAAAAAGACACTGCTTGTTTAACTAGGGGGTCAGCGAAAGAGAGAGAAAGACCCTGAGGGACATGGATGGACACAGCGACTATGGCTACGGGCAGAGGGGACTGTGAGGATGGCACAGCAAAGGGCAGCGTTCACCCTGCTGTCCATTCATTCACTGTGAATCAGAGTTCAGTCATCGGCATCTACCAACAACACAGCCAGTATCCCCCAAGAAGCCACGGCTCAAGGATCAAGGTAAGGAGAAGGATCTGCAGGCCAGGCTCGGCCCAGATGGGGGTGGAGGGACCACGGGGCTCGAAGATGAAGAGGCACGCGTGACATGCAGACATTACCATTCTCCAGGTTCTCGCTGCTCTCGTAGCACCCCGAGTCCCGTGGGGAGCATCCGCTCAGGGCCTGGCCGTCGACGAGCAGCTTCTCCTGGGATCCCGACTGGTCACTGTTACCTAGGAGAGGTGAACAAACAGCATGGAACCATGAGGGAGGGCGGGAGGTTCAGGGCCAACCAAATCCTGATTTTAACCTGTCATGACCAAGCATCTTGAAGCTCCAGGCTTGTGAGAAAGAATAAATTACTTTTAAAGTGAATATGATGAAAAGTGAGCAATGAGATTGCAACTTTCTTTGTTGCCATAAAGTATGACATAAAGATAGATTTGACAAGGCAGTGCACAGTTGGGCTCCGTCAATGCCCTTTAAAGTTACCCAGCTGAGGACAAGGGGAGCCTCAGTGGCCTAGTGGGTAAGGAGTTGTGCTGCCAAGTCAAAGGCCAGCGGTTTGACTCCGCCAGCTGCTCCATGGGAAAGAGATGGGCAATCTCCTCCTGTGTGAACAACAGCATCTGAAAACCTACTCGAGGGTCAGCTGGGAGTTGATTCTGACTCGATGGCAACGGAGATTTTGGATTGAGGGTAACTCTGGCCTCAGGGTTAATGACAGAAGAAACACTCAGAGCATCCGGCATAGCTCTGTCTTTTCTGAGTGATGACAACATCAAGGAGAAGCAATCCGTTCACAGACAGCCTTTGACAAAGTGGCATTAAACGAAAGCTATCACCACGGAGTGGATTCTGACCCACAGCAAACCTCCTTCAGGCTCTGAGTCTGTAAATGCTTATGGGAGGACGATACCCATCTTTCCTCCATTAAGCAAAGGGTGGATTTGAACTGCTGCCCTTTCTTTTAGCAGTCTAACATATTAGACACCAGGCCCCAGGGCTACTTAAGATGGTCTTAGACAACATGTTTTTCAAAGATCTGTAAGATCGGTGCTTCAATTTTTTATATATTTTATATTATCAGCTTCCCAAATTTGAGAGGAAATACACAGTGTCAAAATAAAATTTCCTTTTTATTTAACCCCTGCAGATTTCCCTGACGCCTGCACTATCTCAGCAGGTGAAAGGCGGATGAGCCCATCCCCGCACCAAAGAGGAGTCAGTGGCAAGTCTTGGGCTTTTGTCATTTGGAATGTTTTAGAAAGTTTTGTCTTTTTTTGTTGAGGATGAAGGTGTCTCTGATTCAGGCCATGGTTTTGTTGATTATTTGCTGTGCATCTGAGAGCCGGACAATGAATAAGGACGACAGAAAAAGAATTGACACCTTTGAGCTGTGGTGTTGGAAAAGAGCACTGAACATCCCATGGGCGGTCAAGAGAATGAACAGATATGTCTTGAAGAGGGTGTTGCTGGAGTGGTCTTTGGAGCCAGCCATGATGAGGCTTTGCCTCACATACTTTGGGCATGTTGCTAAGAGGGTCTAATCCTTGGAGACGGACATGATGCTGGGAAGGGTGGAGGGTCTGTGAAAGAGAGGAAGACCCTCAATTAGGAGGATTAACATGGTGACAGCTGCAGAGGGCTTTTGTGTGTCAGGAAGTGTGAGAATGGTACAGGATAGGACAGGGTTCAAATATTTTTTTGTTCATAGGGTCACTGTGAGTTGCACTTGACTTGATGACACCTAACAACAACAATAACAACCTTCTCCTTCTGTCTTGGGGTCAACATTAGGTTATTAACCCAAAATAGGTAAGAAAGGGAAAGCCCCAGAAATTCGCTTTAATTTAAAAGCAAGGGCTTAGTAATAAATAAAACGGTCAAGTTCTCAGCCTTTGACTGAAAAGTTGGTAGCTTGAACCTTTGCAGCAACTCACTGGGAGAAAAATAGGGTGATTTCTTTCCTTAAATGTCTCAGCCAAGAAAAATCCCACTATCAAGGGTCAGCTATGAATAGATGTTGACTCAATGGGACCCAATCACAAAACCAATGGGCAGTGCAGAGGGTCAAGGACATGGCTGGTAACCAAAAGGTTGGAAGGTTGAGTCTACCCAGGTACCTTAGGATAGGACGGGTGTTCTCTTTGACAATCAGTCTTTGAGAATTCAATGGAGCACAGTTCTAAACTGACACACGGTAACCAAGAGGGGGAAGTGACTCAATGACAAGTATCCTTTAAAAAAAAAAATACAAACTGCTTGAAAGTAGCAATGAAGACTCTGAAGGAAAAGGGTGGAAAGCTGATCACCTCATTCAAGGGAACCCTTCTGAAGTGTCAGACGTGGCTTTGGTGTGCAAGGCAACTTAGGGTAATGGCTATGCGGATTTTCATCCTACGTCCCACCTCCACAGAGAGGACATGTGTGACATGCACATGGGAAGTGGAGGTGACACACACAACACCTCTTCTGTTCTGCAGGGAAAGAATCTGATCACATACAACAGAAACAAAGAACACATCTGATCATAAAAGAGCCACTGGCCTCACGAGTGTCCTTTTCCTTTTTCCACTCCCTCCCCTTTCCTCACCAGATGAAGAACAATGAAATTGATCAACAAGGAGTCTGAAGCTTTGTTTTAGCTGCCTTGTTCCTGTTCCTGTTGTCCATATGCCACTTCCTGTTTGTATTTTTCACATGGACAGCATTTTCTATCACAGCATAACAAAGTAAGTCCTTAAATAGAACACTAAGTGTTATTTTTTAAAAATTAATTTTAATGAAAGTTTACAGAGACCTTGGATTTCCATTCATTTATTGTTTCACTTTTCTCCCTGCCCACCACTGCCCCCCCCCAATTTGCTCTTCTCTTCGAAAAATGAAAGAAAAATTCTTTCATTGTTATACAATCCCTCCTACTAAGTCCACTCCACTGTGCAGCCTTCATTCTGAACTCCTGTCATGACAATAATGCCTAATCATATATCCCTTTTAAACTGTTCTCTCCCTCATCGGTTTCAATGCAGTATACATCATTTAGTGTTATTTTTTAAAATAATCAATGAATACTTAACTGGCAGGAAACACAAGGCAAAGCGTGCGTGCGCACACACACACACACACACACACACACACACACACACAAATACTGGAACATTCTAGAGCAATGTCCTTATTGCGTGGAAAAGTCTGTGGGTTTGAGGTGGCCTTTGTACTAACCTACCACGTTATTTAAGAAAATGATCCTTATAAAATGAGGGGTTGGTCTATCACTTGTACACCAGGAAGAGGAATTGGTATACTCTGTCCCCAGCAGCAAACATACAGTACTGGCCACTCCTGCCACCAAGCTAGTGCTGACCAATGGGAATAAAATGGAGCATGTGTCCCGAGTGTGCAGCTTTGGAGAGGCAGCCTCACTAGACACAGCAGGACCGTGGACAGAGTGATGGGGAGGCAAGAGGTCCTGGGCAGGCTCTAAAATCCACGGTTTTATTAAAACCATGAGGCATTTGCCCCGAGTCTAGAGCCAGGATCTTCCAGAATAAGCTACATAGCAGCTTGTAAGGAGGAATGCTCGTAAAATTCCCCTAAAACTAAAAAGTCAGTGTTTCCCAAGCAAGCTGGAGAAGAGATGGGGTGCCTCTGACATGTACCGCAGAATCCATATTCTTGTCCTAAACTTACTAGCACTGAGGCCAGAGTACAAAGGTCATGAAAAGACAAGTTGGAGCAAAGGGAATTTTTACAGTCAAGCAAGAGAGGAGATGAATTGTGAGGCTGAAACACCATCTAGATGTGACCTGAATTTGGATCTGGGAGGTGGTGCTTGGGGCAAATGACCTTCTACAAACCACACACACACACACACACACACACACACAGAGAACACACAAAGACACTCATGAAATCTTTAAACAGCAAAAAGGTGATAACCACCTCAGCACATGGCTAAACCTTGAAAACATAATGCTGAGTGAAGTAAGACATGAAAAAGAAAACTACACTTACTGACAAATAAACAAATAAAGAACACATAAAGAACAAATAAAGGCACAGAGACTAAATTTTATCAGTGGATACCAGGAGGGAGGGACAAGACAGAGTCACTGAAACACGGTTCCTGTCAAGGATGCTGAAAACATCCAAGGATGGATGCTAGTGGTAGCTGTCAGCAGAGTGAACACAATTAACGTCACTATAGGTGTAAAAATGGATCATAGAGAAAATGCCTTGTTATATGTATTTCACCACAATAAAATAAAAAAGAAAAGAGTGGTTATGTGCATGGACATTCACTCTTTTCTGGAGAGCTGTTTATCTTGGAAATAAGAAAGAATGGACTCATTCTACAAAACTGTTTTATTCAATATTTATCCTTATGGGACTGAGTTAGTTCACTCAGCATAATGCTCTCCAGTCTCTCCCAAGTTAGGTAATAATTTACTAAGGATCCAGGAGGGGTGGGAGAGTCTGGAATCAGAGGGCTGTGGCTGTGCAGGGGGAGGGGGAATTAACCATTGGGTTGTACAATTTG